GAAGCATGGGAAAAAATTGTTTTTTTGTTTATTAAAAGTTATAATTAAATGCTTTTAATTTGATAACTTTTTCCAAAAGTTTTAAATAATTCAAATAGATTGGAATAATTTAGAGCTTAATAGTATACATTACAGGAAGTACTGTGAATGAATACCTAAAAGTGTTGGATTTATCACATGATGCATGAAATAACTTCATAATCCAATAATAAGAAATGGTTTCAAATACACTTTGAAACCATTCCAATTCATCTTTATCCGGTTTAGATCAGGATGCTTTAAAAAATGTTTCTTGAAGTAAAACATCAAATATAGAATCATACTATTTTTTGTTAAGTGTTGGACTTATTTCCAAAATTACAATAATACCTTAGAAAAGAATTTTAAAATATAGACAAAACTGTAACAAGAGAAATATGTAGGAATAGATAGAATTACCAGTATTGAAATTATTAAATTTTCAACAGTTTTAGATGTACAGTATATAACTAAAGTCATCAAGAGTTTTTACAGTGACCAGGGATAGCAGGAGTTCCCTTTTGCCATTTTTTTCTTTGAACAAATGAAATACATAGAATTTTACTATATTAATAAAAATAATCTTAAAACATTCCATTTTTTGTTAGTAAAAACAACACTAATTTATAGAGGCTTGATTATAAGTTTTATCTAGGCCCAGGGAAAAACCCCCCACATCCCATCTCTCAACAGTCATGTATATAACATGAACATTAAAAGGAAAAAAAATAGCTTAAGTGTAATCTGATAAATATTAACACAGATGAAATTCCTTTGTATTGAATAAATGGTTTGTTGTAGGTGTTGATTTCTGGAAACCAGCTGTAATCATTTTATGATACTTTTTATAAATGTGTAAAATATAGATCCTGTTTTCTTATCTTAATGCAAATCAGCTGATCTCAAAATATGTTAACTGTATGTCAATACCACTATCAATTATGACAAAAACTTAATTTATCAAAAAATTATCCAAACTACTTTGCATCATTATGTTTATAAACTTAATTTAGCACATTGTAAATTAATTCCAAGAACTTCCAGACAACAAGAATCCAATTCCACAGTTGAATCCTAAAACAAAAAACACAAAACTACTTAAGTCAAATTTAGAATGATCATTACTCAAAGAAACAAGATATAAACTATAAAGTACATAAAGAGATCACCTGAAAAGGAATCTCTATTAACACATTATTATTACATTAACTGTCAAAATAATTTGGACAGTTTGCATACATTAGTTTTTCTTTGATACATCTTATTCACAATAAAATTGCACTAAGTATTTGTCATATACATAAAGCATAACATACTGAAATTCATTGATTACAGATTAAAGGAATAATTAAACAAAAGCCTCCAACTTTAAAATTTTTTTAAATAATTAAAAACTATTAATTTAAACCAAAAATGCCAGTATTGGATTTTCACTACAATAGATAAACCATATCATTTACAGTCCAACTAGAAACACATTTTAAAACCAGTGAAAATGGGGTCTAAAGCTTATTGAATTTCAGATTATTTTTTATTTATTGATCAATAAATTGGTGAAATTATATTGAAGTGTTAAGCATCTATCACTTATAATTCAGTATTACACACTGATCAGTAAAAAAAATAAGTATTAGCTTCCTGCATTCGTTTTCCAATATTCCTTTAATTAATTAAACAATGCTGATTTGCATATTGTACAAGCTTACAAAAAATTAAGATTTTGCTTAACTTTTATTTTTACCAATATGCTCAAAAAACTTATTTAGCTTTTTTTCCTTACATTTATAAATGTGACTGTGATATTAAATTAGTTGGATACAATTCCAATCAATATTCAAATCTTACTATGAAATTACGCAAATGAAGCTCTGGTTGAGCATGTTAACATCTCCCAATTCCCAACATCTAAAATTTACAATAACTGAAGGAAAAAAAAAAAAAGAAAATAATGTAAGTACAGTAACTAAATATAAATAAAAAAGAATATATTTTTTATAATTACAACTAATGTAATAAATTAATATTTAATGAAGGTTAGTCACAATTGAATTACTTAATGTTTATTATAAAAATTTAATTAGAATGTTACAAAGTATAAATTATTGAAATAGAAAGGTGAAGATAAATTGCACTATGATATAAATGTAGAAAATTAAGTAAATTCAAAAAAATAAAAGCACTTTTAACTCATATTTATTGAATCTATTTAATGTATAATTCTATATTTATGTATGTTTATTTCATCTAAATTGTACAAAGATCATTATAATTGTCTTAAATTGAGCTAAACAAAATTATAGTTTTTATTTAATTGTTTGTTTTCCAAATTATAAATTGTCCAAAATTTATTTGTATAAATAAAATTTTGATTTATTTGATATATTGTTATCAATAAGATTCTTAATTTAATTAAATATAAATCTTACTACTAGCAACATTTTGCATTAACTGTCATATAGTAGTAAAACAGTTTCTTATTCTAACAATATAACACACCAGGGGAACTAGCATACAATACAGAATTATTTGTATTACTTTAAAATAAAAAACAATCAAAATGCTAGTTACTAAATAATAAATACTACTGTCATTTTCATTATTCAAGAAAAAATACATAGTACTTGTTATGTAATATTTCCTAATATAGTTTCTAAAATTGTGTGTCAAAACATTTATCAAATCTTAGATTAACATTCAATAAGTAAATATTTTATAAGTGTGGTATGACAATAAATCATCTTTAATTAATGAAAAATAAAAATCATTTTATAAAAGTGCAACCTTAATTTTTCTTCTGTTAATGTTAATTACAAAAGTATTACAGTATATACTTTTTATAGACAGTGAAATGAAATTTCATCCTATAGTTTTATTTCCTGCATATGTAATTAAATATATAATAATAATGATTTAATTATCAGTCTTGGTATTTCTCGAATGTAATCATTGGCTTTGCTTCTATGGGATTAAAATTTTAGTTCTTTTCCTTTTTATAATCACAATTGGGCTTGGATGTGTTACTTAATTCCCGGAATTACGAACAAAAATAATTGCACCAATTATTAGAAGGCTCAGTTCCTTTCCTTAAAATGCAAATTCCAATTTTCCGTAAAATATTTCTAAATTTCAATTACCAGAAAAATTAGAAATAATTTAAATTATTCGAATTGTGCTGAATATTTTATAAATTAGTTTAGTTTACTGCTAACTCACGCTCAGCATTAAACTAATTAATTCTCAAACATCTTGTAAAACGTTTGTGAACGTTTTCTCAACAGAATACGGTATTTGAGAATTAATTACAATTTTTATTCATTAATTTGCTGAATATTCCTATTAAATTTGTAATTGTAAACGTCACAGAAATTGTAACTTAAATCCCCGCGAAAACATTTCCTTACTTTCTGTTCGCATTTATTAAAATATAAATTTCCTACTGTTTTATANTTTAATTTTATTAATATTCTAGTGATCTATAAATATATAAGTTATTTTCATATACATTTTTCTGCTTTCTTAAAGGTAAAAATGAAATATTTCTCTAGTATTTTTCACCCTTCCACTCATCTTCGGGTTTATTAAAACTGTTGTAGTTTGAGTAGATTGGAAGGTCCAAAATACTATAACTAAAGAAAAATATTTCAGCTTTTATCTCCAGGAAAGCAGAGAAGTCTGTGTGTTAAGATTATTGGGAAAGAAAAATCAGTTGATAAAAGCTATGTTTATTTTAAAATAAAATTGTATTTATTTAAAAAATTCTTTTTTTCTTGCTTTTATTTCAAAAATTTTAAATTGAAAAGCATTGATGTAGAATTAATATTTTGGATAATAATGGTTGTTAATCCAACACTTTCCAAACAAGACTGTAAAGAGAGAACTTAAATGAATATATTTTCAGTTGCAAAAAAAGATTCTGTATATAGAAATTTTCCTGATTTAACTTATAGAAGTAGAACAAAAATTACTTTGAAAAATTTGTATATTTGAAAAGAATTCATTTATTTATACATTTTATTGGTAGTGCAATATAGCATGAAATTACTGTTTCAACTAAAAACAAATCAATCCAATAAAAGCTTAAATAGAAAATCTGCAGCACTCCATGATCATCACTTAAAAGTCATCAAGAAATACAAAAATAATAATACCAAAAATATTCTTAAGATTTAACTGTTTATATAACTATTATCATCTTGCATAAACTATATAATATTTTTAGATAGAAATAATTAGTAACATATAAACATCAGCTGCTTAAAGACTAATGTTTATTTCATTCACATTTTTATTAAACTTTGCTTTTTATTTTAAAAATGTTACTTTCCATTTTCTCTCTCTCTCTCTCTTTTTTTTTTACAAGAAAAAGTCAATGAACTTTACTTTTTAAGCAACCAATGTATTTTAAAGAATTTAAAACAGAAGTATTTATTAATAATTATTAATAAATAAATTTTTTCTGATTAATATTAAATGCATCATTTCCACATCATTTTGTTGTGAAGAACTTTTGCATAGAATTAATTATATTTTTGACTACCCAAGCCCAAGGTGGCCCATTAATTGGGCAGAAAATGTTAGCACTCTCATCTTCAACACTATTAAAATGCTTTAATTCAGTTGTAATAGAACTTGACATGCTTCAATTACAAAATTATTTATCTGTATACACACAGATCAGGAAGAGAAGAAATATAGTATCGGCTTTAAATTTAAATCATTATTAAATAATACAGAAATATAAGTTTTACTATGCAATATTCCTATCCTAAATTATAATTTATTATAAAAAGGTATTCATTTTCCTTACAAAAATCCTATAAAATTCCATAAATGAAACTTATTTGGATAGCATTTGATTTAAAATTTATATTATTTTTTTATTTCTTTTGTTGTTCTTGATATATAAAGTTTTATAATGATAATTAAGTCATATTACAAGTCTAAAAATAGAGAGAAAACAAAGAGCATTACTGCATCCTTACAGGCCAGGATTAGTTACTTTCATGTGATTTAAATCAGCAATAAAATCCCAAACAGCTTTAGAAGATTGTAACATATCAACGGTGAACTGCTGTTGAAAATGAACCTTTCTTGTAAAAATCCATCTTGTAAAAATAATAATGAATCCAAAAGCAAGAATTCTCTTCCCTAATTTCCACAATTTCATTTTCATTAATAAAATTTGGCACTCGATTTTATAAAAAAAAAATTGACAAAACTTTAACTATTTACTATAATATACAGTATATTAAGGCACTAAAAATGTCAAAATATTAATTTTTCGTTCATTTTCATTTACAAAATAACACGTTTCTATAAATTGAAAATGACAATTTGGGCGTATGCGAAAAATTCAAATATCCGTGACGTATACGATAATGACGTGTGACGTCTTTCAAAATATATGAATGCGGTTATTTGATTTGACGAACGTTTTTATCTTGAACAAAATGGCGGAAGATTGTAAATTTTCCATGTCGTTAAAATCTATAAATGTTAAAACAAATTAATAAAGAAAAATGTATAATTTAAGTTAATAAAATATATTTAATACAATTTTTTTCGTGAATTATGAAATTCTAGTTTGCAAAATGATATTTATCATTTAGATTATTATTTTTTTAATTTAAAATGATTGGAATTTTATTGGCAAAATGATAATTTTCTATAATTAAACTGCAGAATTATAAAATATATAAATGTGTTCGAGTCATCATAAGTGATGAATCTGATAATTAATAATAAAACATTGCTACATTATTTTTGTATTATAGAACTTTATAAATTATTACATTTATATAAATAATAGAAAATAATATTCTCTCTATAGTTAAAAAGTAATGGTAATTCTTATTCTTCATTATTAACATGTGTTATTGTTTATCACATTTCTTTTTTACCATTACACAGTCAATTTAATATTTCAGTTTATATGTGATAAAAGAACAACATAAATTCAAAATAAATACATTTTTAGCACTTAAATGCTCAATTAAGATTTTTTTATAACCAATTTTATGTATAAAAACACATAAAAGGCTGTTTATTATATATTTAAGTGTTATACGTATAACATTGTGTTAAAATAACACAAATTAGTTACTTTAACCTGGAATTATCCTAAAGCAAAGCAAGAGAGGAAAAATTGAATATTGGAATAAATATATGTATATGCAGAATATATGTATATTTCTTTATATTATATTCTGTATGTAGGTTATGTAGAAGTAATTGTTTTGTATGTAAGATTAACATTGTTCTTCTATATATCCTATATACTGTATATAGGTTATATAGAAATAATAATGTTAATTATATCTGAGATTATCATTATGTATTTTCTGTTCCTTATTTTAATTTCTATGAATCTTGAATCTTGGTGAAGAAGTTGGACTTCTGGATAGAGTTGTTTCATTCAAAGAAATTTGAATTTTGGTTTAATGAATTGTTTGTTTTTTGATAAATCTAATTGTATCCTATTTTAAAAATATATTTGCTGTAGCTATATTAATATGAAACATGGATAAATACATAGAATACTTAAATTTGCAACATATAAAATGATTAAAGACCAAAAGATTTCTTAATTACAATAATATATTTTTCTTCTCCAAAAAATTAGCTTTAATTTCAAAATTTTTCATTATTTGATAAGAATTATTTACATATGTTATAATTAAAGGATTATAATTGAATTTTATATTTAATAATATAACTTATCATCACATCTTATTAATAATTTTTTAATTCAATACTGTATCTGTTAAGTAAAATTGAAGAAGATTAAAGCTGAAAAAAATCAATTTTATATGCAATTTTATTTATTGTTGGTTAACTTTTATAGAGAGTTTAGTTTTTTTTTTAAATATATTTTCAAACTGATTTTAATTATTATTCTTTGAATTGTATATGTGAATGTTCCAAAGTTTAATGTTTTGAATATCTATAAAGGTTTTACTAGATATTTTAAAGTTACTACTAAAATTTTGATAGTTGTATTCAAAATAAGAAGAAAAATAATACTTTAGCTCATTTTCAATCATTAATTGTGTAATTTCTGCAACTGATAAAGCATTTTATCTTTGATATTTTAAAAAATTAATATAAAAACTGAAGCATGGGAAAAAATTGTTTTTTTGTTTATTAAAAGTTATAATTAAATGCTTTTAATTTGATAACTTTTTCCAAAAGTTTTAAATAATTCAAATAGATTGGAATAATTTAGAGCTTAATAGTATACATTACAGGAAGTACTGTGAATGAATACCTAAAAGTGTTGGATTTATCACATGATGCATGAAATAACTTCATAATCCAATAATAAGAAATGGTTTCAAATACACTTTGAAACCATTCCAATTCATCTTTATCCGGTTTAGATCGGGATGCTTTAAAAAATGTTTCTTGAAGTAAAACATCAAATATAGAATCATACTATTTTTTGTTAAGTGTTGGACTTATTTCCAAAATTACAATAATACCTTAGAAAAGAATTTTAAAATATAGACAAAACTGTAACAAGAGAAATATGTAGGAATAGATAGAATTACCAGTATTGAAATTATTAAATTTTCAACAGTTTTAGATGTACAGTATATAACTAAAGTCATCAAGAGTTTTTACAGTGACCAGGGATAGCAGGAGTTCCCTTTTGCCATTTTTTTCTTTGAACAAATGAAATACATAGAATTTTACTATATTAATAAAAATAATCTTAAAACATTCCATTTTTTGTTAGTAAAAACAACACTAATTTATAGAGGCTTGATTATAAGTTTTATCTAGGCCCAGGGAAAAACCCCCCCACATCCCATCTCTCAACAGTCATGTATATAACATGAACATTAAAAGGAAAAAAAATAGCTTAAGTGTAATCTGATAAATATTAACACAGATGAAATTCCTTTGTATTGAATAAATGGTTTGTTGTAGGTGTTGATTTCTGGAAACCAGCTGTAATCATTTTATGATACTTTTTATAAATGTGTAAAATATAGATCCTGTTTTCTTATCTTAATGCAAATCAGCTGATCTCAAAATATGTTAACTGTATGTCAATACCACTATCAATTATGACAAAAACTTAATTTATCAAAAAATTATCCAAACTACTTTGCATCATTATGTTTATAAACTTAATTTAGCACATTGTAAATTAATTCCAAGAACTTCCAGACAACAAGAATCCAATTCCACAGTTGAATCCTAAAACAAAAAACACAAAACTACTTAAGTCAAATTTAGAATGATCATTACTCAAAGAAACAAGATATAAACTATAAAGTACATAAAGAGATCACCTGAAAAGGAATCTCTATTAACACATTATTATTACATTAACTGTCAAAATAATTTGGACAGTTTGCATACATTAGTTTTTCTTTGATACATCTTATTCACAATAAAATTGCACTAAGTATTTGTCATATACATAAAGCATAACATACTGAAATTCATTGATTACAGATTAAAGGAATAATTAAACAAAAGCCTCCAACTTTAAAATTTTTTTAAATAATTAAAAACTATTAATTTAAACCAAAAATGCCAGTATTGGATTTTCACTACAATAGATAAACCATATCATTTACAGTCCAACTAGAAACACATTTTAAAACCAGTGAAAATGGGGTCTAAAGCTTATTGAATTTCAGATTATTTTTTATTTATTGATCAATAAATTGGTGAAATTATATTGAAGTGTTAAGCATCTATCACTTATAATTCAGTATTACACACTGATCAGTAAAAAAAATAAGTATTAGCTTCCTGCATTCGTTTTCCAATATTCCTTTAATTAATTAAACAATGCTGATTTGCATATTGTACAAGCTTACAAAAAATTAAGATTTTGCTTAACTTTTATTTTTACCAATATGCTCAAAAAACTTATTTAGCTTTTTTTCCTTACATTTATAAATGTGACTGTGATATTAAATTAGTTGGATACAATTCCAATCAATATTCAAATCTTACTATGAAATTACGCAAATGAAGCTCTGGTTGAGCATGTTAACATCTCCCAATTCCCAACATCTAAAATTTACAATAACTGAAGGAAAAAAAAAAAAAGAAAATAATGTAAGTACAGTAACTAAATATAAATAAAAAAGAATATATTTTTTATAATTACAACTAATGTAATAAATTAATATTTAATGAAGGTTAGTCACAATTGAATTACTTAATGTTTATTATAAAAATTTAATTAGAATGTTACAAAGTATAAATTATTGAAATAGAAAGGTGAAGATAAATTGCACTATGATATAAATGTAGAAAATTAAGTAAATTCAAAAAAATAAAAGCACTTTTAACTCATATTTATTGAATCTATTTAATGTATAATTCTATATTTATGTATGTTTATTTCATCTAAATTGTACAAAGATCATTATAATTGTCTTAAATTGAGCTAAACAAAATTATAGTTTTTATTTAATTGTTTGTTTTCCAAATTATAAATTGTCCAAAATTTATTTGTATAAATAAAATTTTGATTTATTTGATATATTGTTATCAATAAGATTCTTAATTTAATTAAATATAAATCTTACTACTAGCAACATTTTGCATTAACTGTCATATAGTAGTAAAACAGTTTCTTATTCTAACAATATAACACACCAGGGGAACTAGCATACAATACAGAATTATTTGTATTACTTTAAAATAAAAAACAATCAAAATGCTAGTTACTAAATAATAAATACTACTGTCATTTTCATTATTCAAGAAAAAATACATAGTACTTGTTATGTAATATTTCCTAATATAGTTTCTAAAATTGTGTGTCAAAACATTTATCAAATCTTAGATTAACATTCAATAAGTAAATATTTTATAAGTGTGGCATGACAATAAATCATCTTTAATTAATGAAAAATAAAAATCATTTTATAAAAGTGCAACCTTAATTTTTCTTCTGTTAATGTTAATTACAAAAGTATTACAGTATATACTTTTTATAGACAGTGAAATGAAATTTCATCCTATAGTTTTATTTCCTGCATATGTAATTAAATATATAATAATAATGATTTAATTGTCAGTCTTGGTATTTCTCGAATGTAATCATTGGCTTTGCTTCTATGGGATTAAAATTTTAGTTCTTTTCCTTTTTATAATCACAATTGGGCTTGGATGTGTTACTTAATTCCCGGAATTACGAACAAAAATAATTGCACCAATTATTAGAAGGCTCAGTTCCTTTCCTTAAAATGCAAATTCCAATTTTCCGTAAAATATTTCTAAATTTCAATTACCAGAAAAATTAGA